TGGAGAAAAACCAGGCCTAGTCTATACATTTCCACCAACTGATAGCCTCTGCTTGTGGGCCATGTAAAAGCTGAATAGAACAGACTGAAGACGTGAGCCCAGTGACTCTAGGCTGCACAGACCTGAACCCCCGCATGCCTCAGCCTGGGGAGAGACCCAGGGCCATTTCGGCTGGTTCTGGGCATGGATGGCAATGTCTACAGGGGTCAGATGATGCGCTAAACTGGCCTGTGGCACATGGCTCTCTACACCTGGTTTTAGAGAGAGGCAGGCACAGAGATGTTTCTTTACCCCAAAGCAGTGGATCGAAAGCTTTAGTTGCATCAGAACCACCCAGCAGGAGCAGTGAGACCCAGATTGCTGGAGTTTCTGATTCAGTAAGTAGACCAGGGGCGTGGCTGGAGAACCTCTGTTTCTAACATGCTTGTGGTGCTGCTGCTACTGGCTTCCACTTAGGGAACCAATGCTCAGGAACCCACAGTGCAGGCCAGCTGGTCCTCAACTTCAGGTAGGAAGATGGAGTGAGCCAACTATGGTAAACTGGAGAAAGTCCCATCTAAAGGGAGCAACTGTGACAGTGATACCGTTGTAATTTAACCTAGTTATGAATAACTGGAAAGCAGCAAAAGGAAGGCCAAATATTATGGGCATGCCATTTGTGCAGCTTTGCCAGGAAGCTGCAATTTACATGCATGCCCAGTAAAGTCTGGGTGAAATAGGGAAGGTACTTGCCTGTCAGTCACACCTGGGAACAGGTCCTTGGCCAAAGTAGGCGTGACCACCGCTAGCACAGGAAGATTTAAGATATTTAATCTCCTAAACAAAGGAGTTTGATCTCTTGGCTCTCTAGGTTTGTGCTCTTGGGACTCTTGTTGCAGGGGGCCCACTCTCTTGGCTCCCTGCATTCTCCCACATGGCCCACAGCCATGTGGACCCACACAATGGATTAATGCACTGTAACTAGTCTAATGCTATACTGGACCCAGCTCCACCATGGAAAGGAAACTTTGGATGCTGGCTTTGTCTTTAGCTCTGCTGAATCCCCAGCTGCACATCTTCTAGGACTGGATTAAGGGAAATAGGACTTTGGAAAGCCAAGGATGTAATTCCATGCAAATAAAAATCACTCGTCCTCCTGTGTGTCTCAGAAAATTCTTTTTCTCGAGATATTGTAAGAACCCCACTTCCACTAGCAACAAAGACCATCCATGCATTTCTCCAATAACAACTGTCCCAGGGAGCCACATGACACAGAAGTAATCAGGCACCCACTGTTTTTAAGCATCTTGATTTTTTTTTTTGTAAGAACAGCCAGAAATATGGATTTTTTCCATGAAATCTTACAATCTTTGGCAATCACTGGCAACTGGCTCTGAAGTTTTTCAAACATTGCGCAGGCCAAACAAAACACATCTGCTGGCCGGATTTTACCCTCTGGCTAGGAAACTTATCTGTGTTCCCGTGGAAGAGAGGCAGGGCCAGAGATCTCTGAGCCAGGAAGCCTCAAAGAGGAATGTCAGATGACCATGCCTCTTCCAGCAAGGGTTCCCTGCGGATTTGTGTGGGCCACATCCAGGCTCCCCATCAGGTCCTCATCACTCTTCTCTCCTCTGGCCACATTTTGCACTCCAGCCACACTGAAGTCTTCCAGACTGTACCTCTCTCACCTCCCAACGAGGCCTTTTCTGACCTCTGGGCCTTTGTGCCCATGGTTCCCTCTGCCTGGAATGCTTGTATCCTTTTTCCATGTCTGATCTGATTCTTACTTGTCCTTCAAGGCTCTGCTCAGCTGTGACCTCCTCCAGGGAACCTTCCATGACCAGTGCTCCCTAAACCCCCAGCCCTATGCTCCTTCGCCCACTGTGCTTCCATCATAACACTGAGCTGTAATGGCCTGAAGATGCGTCTGCCTGCTCTACTGGCCCGGGTGCTCCAGGAGGCCATGGTGACTCCGTGTTCCCACACTGAGCCCAGGGCCTGCTGTGGGACAGGTCCAAAATAGCATTTTCCAAGTGCTGCTCTCTTGGCCTTGCTCTCATTCCCCTCGTTTGCCTGGCTACTTCCTGTCTATCCTTCGAGTCACAGCTCACACTCCACTTCCTGTGGGATCTTCCCCTGACCTCCCAGAGCCAGAGAGGTCCTTCTCTGCCTATCCTTTCTCCATGGCACACTATCACAGTATGACTGGCTGCTGTGGTCTGTCTCCCCCATTACCCTGAACTCTGTGAGGGCAGGACTCGGGTGATGCACCTCAGTAACACAGGGCCTGAAAAGATAGAGCCAGCACCTTGAAATGCTTGCAGGACCGAGAGAGGAAAGAACAAAACATGAATGATCCCAGGTGAGAAATGACACCTTTGTAACGTGCTGGGGAGAAAAATGTTAGAATGGAACAATCTGATGCTGAGAACAAACTGGCTTCCTCCCAGCTGCCACTTCTGGCTGGTGGGTGCAGAGTGTGTGGAGCAGAGGGGGCCCAGAGACCTCAGGCATCATGGCATCTTGGCATGCAGCTCCCCTCCACTCACAGCCTCAAGCTGGACAGTTGCTATAATTCTATTATCCTAACCCTTCCCCAGGTGTTCTCTTCACTATGGTCCACCATACATCCAGCTGGGCAGCCAGGAGAGAAAGGTGAGGCAGGGGCCTGAGCAGAGGAACCGTCCCTTCTCCAATGGGCAATAGCAAAGTAAGTGAGTGGCCATCTAGTGAGTCCCGGGACAGCAAAAGTGACCACGAGTCCTGTCCAATTTCATCTGGTTTGCCTAGCTGCTGGGTTCCCTGATCTGCTCAACTACCGCTGTCCTACTGCTGGGTTAAGAAAAGAGGGTGGCCATTTGTCCCTTCCTTTGTGTCCCAAACCCTCCCTTCCACCTTCTTTTATAATCAAGCACAGAAGTGACTCTCTCAGAACTCCTGGGATCCCCTCCTCTGGGTGCCTCCCTTTGTTACCACGGATCTCTCCGTGTTTGGACTGTTTATGTGTCTCCACCACAAAGGCTGTGAGTTCCTGAACATCAGGGATTGCGCGGTACTGGGCTGTGTCCCGGCCCCTGATGCAGTGACTACTAGCATGTCAGGAAAGTGGCAGGTACAGTGCAATGGTTAAGGGCAGCCACTCTGGCACTGACGGACCAAATTCAAGTCCTCCCTATGCCATTTACTTTGCTTCCCCAAGACCACGCAATAGAAGTCCTGCCTCTGTTTTCTTATCTGTAAAATGTTGTGAAGATTGAATTAAAATAAATACCCTAAGTACCTGGTACATAGTAAGTACTTGATGAGAATTAGCTAGTATTCCTAAGTGATCAATAAATGTTTTATGCATTAATGGAGGGAAGAAAAGAGCGAAGATAGTTAACCAAGTACAAGCTGACACAATCCAGAGGTTGTGGTTGACCCAAAATAAATAGGGATGTTTTCTGTGTTCTGTGAGTTCCCCAAGAGTGAGCTGGGGACAACTGTTCTTACAGTGCAGTTCCATGCAGCAGGCCAGGGGGAAGATCTTGGGCAGTGGTCTGAAAGGCAGGGCCCCCACCTCACCAAGGCAGACCTTCCCCACAGTGAGCCTCTGGGGAGATTAAGAGGCCTTGGGTGTTTTGAAGGTAAACCCGGCATCTCCCTACGACAGTAGTGTTTTCTCCCACTCGCGGCCTCTCCAAGGACACTCCCTGTCGGCGACCCCCTCTTCTGCCATCATTCCAAGCAGCGGGCTCACACTCACATCTGACCGACTCCAGGTGAATCAACAAGAGGGGATAAGTCCTCCGGCCTGGGCTCCTTATTCCCAGGCCCCAGCACTCCTCGCCCACAGTCCTTACAAGCTTCAGACACCTGCTTTCTGGTTACCACTAGAGTGGAACCTGGCGGGGAGCAGGAGCATGGGCTTCAAAGTCCAAGGACTTCAGATAGGGCTCAAACCTCATCCCTTGCAAGTCTCTTCTCCTGTGGGGCCTGTTGTTGCATAATATGGGGTGACTAATCCCTCCCTCACTGGGCTGTGCACAGCGCGCAGGGCATACAGCGAGCCCTGGTAAATAATGGAAGGGGGACAGGAGGACAAGAGGGAGGGCCTCTTCAATAAGCATAAACTAGCTCCGGGCCGGGACAGTGAAAGGGAAGCCAGGAGCACCCTGACCTCCCAGCGACCTAAGGATGTTGATGGAAGCCCGGGGCTGACCTTCTGCAGTTTGCTGTGGCAGCACTAATTGGGGCCCTCTGGGTCACCAGCTTCCCACCCTTGGGGGCGGGGTCTCCCTCCCCTCCCCCTCCCCATTGCTGCATCTGTTGGCCTGAGCTGCAGAGGAGCTGACCTTCCCAAGAGGTGTTGGCTGCAAGGTTCAAAGGAAGCTGGGCAGCGCACAGTGGCAGATAGGTGGGAAAGGGGATGGCCGGGAGCCAAATCCCAGTTTGGGGACAGCAAGGGGCAGGTCAGAAGGCTTCTGGCAGGGATCGAGGTGCCCCCTGCTTTCTAGAGTGGCTTCCTGCTAGGTCATATAGGAAGTTTACACTCCAAGAGGGCTTCCTGTGTTTCTTCTTTATTTCCTCCCTTCCAGCTCCCTCTCCTTTCTCCACCAGCCCAGAGTGCAGCCAGAGAAGTCAACAGACATGCCTGGAATTCCAGCCCAGCCCCTCCCTAGTTGTGCTGCTCCAGGCATGTTACTTCATCTCTTATGTTTTCTAATCTGTTAAATGGGTGTACTCATACCTCCCTCAAAGGTTGTTGGGAGGATTAGGTGAAGTCAAGTGTATAAGGCACATGATTCAAAGTGTCCGGACACGGTAGAGACTAAAGGAGGTGAAGTTTTCATAACTATAACCATCTGGTTTGGATGGAGAAGAGTGCTGGATGAGTGGGTGCTGCCCACCTTGGGGGGGGGCAGGCTAAGATCCGTGGTCCCTAAGAACACAACGGCCCTTGCTCCCCTCTCAAATGAATTAGCTCAGCCTTTGGTCAGGCCCCCTGGGCAGGGGATGCCCGGGTGTGTCCAAATTCTCACCATGCACTTGCGGTCATCTATGCCCGTCAGGTCCTCCTCAAACTCCTTCCCAACCTGGAAGTCCATGATGTAGTTCCTGAAAGTGCTCAGCGTGCGGATGATCATATGGTCGCCGTCCTGCACAATCTCTTTGTCTGGCTTCAGCAAGTTGGCGATTTTGCGCAAGGCCACATTGACATCTGCGGGGGCGCAGGGGAGCAAAGAGTTGGCCAGAAAACTCAGAGAACGGTTCCTAAGGTAGAGGGGCCCCAGGGGCCAGCACCCCCAGGAGAACAGCTGGGGTTCCCTCCCGCTTGCGCTGTCTCTGTGCGTGGCCACTTTGTGCCTTTCCCCCCCCCTTTCTTTTTTTCTTTTTTTTTTGCAACAAAGTTTTCCGTCCTTATGCTAACCCTTTAAAAACAAAACGTAGGTCACCAAGCCCAGCTTTCCTAGTGAAATCATCCACGTCCAGCGCCAACTCTCACACGTTCACCCCCCGCGAACCCTAACACCCCCA